CACAACAGTGTGGCCCTTTGCTTTTTTTTCCTTCTTGTAGTTTTTGGAGCTTCTCCTTTCCAAGAGAGCCTTCACATGGTGACTTCTGATGTCAAGTATTAACCTGAAGCCATGGTCATTCTGCAGCAGGTAAGGGACTAGTTTCCTGCTTGTGAGGGTTTTGGCCTAGAGTGCTGTAAGACGTTTCAAGGCATGAAGCATATTATTTAAAAAAAAATAAAGTACATCCTTATTGCAGCACACGTTTGCAAAATGTATTTGAAAGTTCATTAGCATTAGAAGCAAATGTTCCTGTTAAAATCTAGCAAATCTAGCAAAAGCATTTGTCTAATATAACTGTACAGTATAAGTGTGATCTTACGATGTGAGTCTTTTCTCAAATATTTTATGTTACATATACATTTCCATCTCTTGGTTGTAAACTTAATAAACTGTTTTATGGATACATAGAAAAATTGTGTAGGGTAGTGTGTTTGCTTAATTCTGTGGCAATGCAAGGATGCTTCAGTGAAATTGTTAAATAAAAGAGTTTCAGTTTCTTTGCTCTGTCAACATCACGCCAAACTAGAAGTCTCCTGTCAGTCCATTAAACCTAACTTTCAACTTTGTAGATCATAGTGATTTTAAGTGAGGAATATTGCCACCTGAAGATTATGCTGTTGACCAGTTAGTCTCCGCCAGTGGCAATTTAAGGAGAAAATCCACTCCCTCTGTCATAAAAGAGGGTCAGCATGTGTTGGGATTTCATTCTGGTACTTTGGGAGGGGGGCAATAAAATAATCTTTTTAAGTCAGCACTTCAGAAGAGGCATCACACAGCACAAACTAAAATAGATGTCTGACTTCACAAAGACCTTTGCCATGTCTCCAGACACACAGCTAGAAAGACCCAGTGACCCAGAATAGAAGCTCATCCCACGGAAGAGGAGACTAAAGGCTAGTATTATCCCTAATCAGATCAGAGTGCAGTTCATTTTAACATGACTTGGAAAGACAGGCTGATGGATTCTGATAGTCCATGTCACATCGACAGGTTTCCATTCAGCCTCTTTTATTCTATTTATTCTTGCTTTGTCTGAACTGTGTGTACACATCTCTTGAGTTACAAATACAACCTTTTACAATTCCCATGATGGTCTGTGCTACCTGTTTTCATGGTCATTGTTGTGGCTCCACGTCCTGAAAACCCAGACCTTTCTGTATGATTTCCTGTCGGACATTTCTTCTTTTACCAGAAATGTGTTTTTTACTAAAGAGTTTTAGTAACAGGGAGTAACAGAAACAACAGAAAGGAGTGACCACCATTTCTGACACCAGCCAGGATCACCTCCACAGACATGTGTGGAGTTCACAGTAAGGCTGTCAGAGAATTGAGGTCACTTTTAAAGAAAAGTCTAATCATGAAGAGTGACTAAGAAAGAACTCTGATGCATACCTCATCACTGAAACTGATGAATAAAGCAGATAAAGCCAAGTATTTTAGATCAGTAAGACAGTTGTTACCCAGGATTGTTAAAAATGGTGTGGGTATCATTTCACCCCATAACCTGTAGATCATATTTTGAGCTTTATTATACCTGACATTTCTAAATAAATTGTTGGTACACTGATCATAGCGAGGTTGGTGGCTTTGAAAATTCACAAACCATTTAAAAAGTGAGCCCATTCAGCTTATTGGTTGACAGAAACGGCAGCAGTTCGTCTTGTTGGAGTTGGATGAGCCAGGCCTAGCTCATCAACCTTTGTAAGCTGCTAATTGGCACCGACACCTCATCCTTTCAGCACACAGATGACAAGAGAACCATTTTTCTGAAACCATTTTTCAGACATTTTTTTGCTTCGACATATCTGGGGCATGTGCTTTTCCCCTGTTGATCTTCCTCATCCTCCTGCTGAAACTGAAGGCGTGGTGGCCCAAGGTTGCACGACAGGAAGTAGGCCGAAGGCTGTAAGGACAACTGTTTGCTTTCTTAGCGCGCAAGCTACTGACCTGAAGGAATCCTTTGTATGAAATGCAGTTGGCATGGCTTTAAATACAGAGACAGGAGAGCAGGATAGGACCGAGTGTTCGGCAGAAACAGGCAAAGAAATACAAAAGCTGAGTCTGCAATCCACTCAAATTAAGGTAATTGTTTTTAAATGTACTAGCTTGTAATGTAGGTTTTGGTAAAGACAGGACAAACTGTGTGAGTGACCCACACAGCTTCTTTTTCTTCCTTAAAATGAATATATATTATAGAAGTAAATGGAAAAATATCGTTCTAACATAAAAAAAAACATAATAATATGTAGATGGAGAGCTAAATTACTGCAATTCAAGAAATTATAGTGTTATATATTCACTGTTAGACCTGAGCAATAAACTGTATGTTTTAATATTTCAGATTATGTCAAAATATATATTTCAGATTCTACAATATTCTGTAATATTGACCATTGACCACTGGGATATTTGACCATTTTGTAAGGCAAACAAGTTTTATTTGGGGGGTGATCTTTAAATACTGCAGATTTGAATACTGTAAGGTGTAGAAATCAGAAGATATGTAATCTGATTTGACTGGTCTAGACTTCTCCTTTACTAAAATGCAATTTAAAAATAATCCTTAATGACACTTCCATAACCAGGTCTATCATATTTTCAATGACTAATCCAACAAATGTACTTAGAATGGGTATACTTTCATGTTTATGTATGTGGAAACAGGCAAGGAAACTGGAAAAAAAGACTGAATACTCTGCAGTAAATACATGGCTTTCCAGTTGATGTATAAAGCCAAGATGAACTTAGGTTTATACTGTAACTCTGTGAGAATTTTTGTAATTCAAGTTTTCTTTACTTTCTTCCTAATGGGCACCTTTGAAAAATTAAATCATTTTCTGTTGCGAACTGAAACTGTAGTTGCAGTAAAACATGATTGTACTGTAGGTACAATTGAGCTATTGATAGTATAGTTATTTTTGAAGTTAAATGCAAGTACTGTAACTTATTTTACCTGCACTCTACAGGTTAGCTAGATGTATATTGCTGGACACTCTCACCATTCAGTTAGGTAGCTTCACTGTCAATTATTTCAATAAGCTTCTGACATCCTGTAACTAAAACAAACCCTGCTTCCTTAGGCATGATGAAGAATAAAAAGATTCTGCAGTTTTTTCTGCAAAATATTCTTAACAATTTATTGTTGATAAACTGAAGTAGAAAGAAATTATTATTAGAAATGGAAAATGTGCCTAATAATAAAAGTTTTAAAACTTTAAAGCAGCTAATGTGTGGGGAAAAAAAGAGGTCTGCTATTGAAGCAAAATTTTGTCCAAGATAATCTTTACACACAGCCCCTCCTTACACAGAGGCAGAAACATATTAGCATATCAAGCTGCCTCAAATCAGCTGCTTTTATTATCTGTGAGACGTTTTAATAGTATGGTAAATTGTGTGGAAATAAAATGATTCACGACGTCTATGAAGTGGTGTTGAAGTGTCAAATGCCACCGGTACAGGCCTCTATGACACACTGGTGACATTTGACTTCTCTTCCAATCTAAATGCTAATGGCTTGTTCGTTTTCCACCATAGATTGCATGATCCTAAATTAAATTTTAGCAAAGTATTTCTGCTAGCCTTACTAACGTCAAACTAGAAGCAATTTTTTTGTTCTTAAAAAGAATCATCTGAAATGTATTTTAAATCCTATTTTGGAGCAAGATGCAGGCAACCAATTTAATTAATTTAGTTATGGATGTGAGGAAAATGGAGAAATCATTTCCACTTATGAGCCAGTCCAGAAGACGTGGACACTGTAACATGATACTTTTGATTGCATTAAACAGTTCTTTGGAAAATGGTCTGATTTAAGACATACAGCAAATGCAATAAAATCAATCTCAGCATGGGCTTTTGGAACACAATTACTATATATGAATTGGCTTCATTACTCTGCTCTCCTCCCCACTGATAGCTGGTGTGTGGTGAGCGTTCTGGTGCACTATGGCTGCCGTCGCATCATCCAGGTGGATGCTGCACACTGGTGGTGGTGGAGGGGAGTCCCCATTATGTGTAAAGCGCTTTGAGTGGAGTGTCCAGAAAAGCACTATATAAGTGTAAGCAATTATTATTATTATTTTTATATCCACTCCTTCTTATACTGTATGTACTCCTTCTTATTCAGTAAGAACAGTGTCACGTCCTATACTCGTGCTGACCATTTTAATAAGGAGGTTCAGGAGAGACTGTGAAAAGGGCTTCTCAGTCACATGAATAATTAAAATCTTGTTATTTTGCTTCCTCGGTATCATTTTGAATATTCTGCTTTCTAGAAATTGAACCCTTTGAGGGAACCCTGTCTGTGCAGTGGAATTTAAAACCCCTTGAACAAAAAGAAGACAAAACATGCACAGCAAGTCAGACCATGACCAAGGATAAAATTATGGCATATAATCCTCATTAATTACTATGTTCGGCAATTACATTCCTTTTAGATATACATGGAGGAAAAGTGGTACAGTATGTGTAGTGTTCTCATGGAATTTCCTACATTACGTAAAGATGGCATTTAAGTGCGTCAATATGAATGAAGTTGAACTGGGAAATCTGCATGATGTGAGGCACAGTAAGAGAAGTGTTTCCATTGATAAAGCTGCATTTGGAAAGTGTGATGGCTGTCCTTATACACCAGCACAGAAATAGAAGCTTTTTATGTCTATTGGATTGTGGTTTGAATGAGTTAATGAATATTTGTAATATTTACAGTACTGCAAAGTTGTTTTGTGTATTGAGATCACGGTATGATTAGATACGTTTTTGAGCTGTCCAAGGACTCCCAATGCAAAGAAGCTAACGTGCATAAGTCATGCAATACATAGTGACTAATAAAAATTGTATGTTGACCCTGAAAAATTAAATAAACACAACATCATGTGGCTCATTGGAGCCTTAAAAAGAGAGGCGGAGTTTGTCCTTTCAAGAAAAGAAGATTAACCTTTGTCTGTGCACTTAATTACAAACATAACTAAACAGAAACTAGATATTGAGTTACTTCTTTAATTACATTTTTATGGAATTTTTGTAGTATTCAGGAATGGCAGTAACTACTTTCAGGTTGAGTACAAGTGCACTGTGGAAGACCTCTA